GTTTCGCGTGGGCACACGCCCCCTTAAAAAAAAAAAAAAAAAAAAAAAAAAAGGAGAAAAGGGCCAGCAGGTGGTGTAGTGGCTAAAGCACTGGATCCCACATGACTGGCTCTGTGGTCTGAGTCTCAGAGCTGGAGGCTTGGAAAACACAACAGGTGTACGTGCACGCGCGTGTGTATGTGCACACCAAAAATCCTGAGAGAAGAATAGAGAAGGGACTGCAGTGTGGCCACCACCACCGCCCCCCCCCCCCCTGCTGTGGTGTTGGCCACCCCCACCCCCCCCCCCCCCCGCACCAGGGGGGCACTTTCCTTCTCTCTCTGTCTTTCTCCAACAAATGTGGCCACACAATAGCAAAAAAAAAGGAATAAAAGAATGGGGGCGGGCAGCAGAGGGTATGGAGCTAAGGGGCTAGATCCCACATGCTGTGTATTTTAAAGCTGAAGGACATAAGATTCATCCCCTCCGTTATGGAAGACACAGCAACGACACAGCAGGGAGCGCAGGCGCAGGGAGAGAAAGAGGCCCGACTGCTCACCTGCACCTCTCTCTCCTGTGCAGGCCCACGGCCTCGGGCACGCAGCAGGGTCCAGTGCAGACGTGCTCAGAGGCAGCACGGGGCCACCTCGGAGCTCTGCTCCCAGTGCTCTCTTTAATTTTTGTTGGTTAGGACACAGGAAGTTAGAATAACATTAACTGCATCTCCTATAAATGTAGGGCTTCACATTAGACATGTTTAAATCCATGGGGGAATTACATGAGCTTCTTCCTGTAAATGTGGAGCAACCTTAATCATCTTTTTACCTATTTTATTCCTTATGAATCGCACTTTATTCCAGCATCAAAACTATATAGCTCTTAGGGAATAAATTTACAAGAAAAATATCTGCACATGGAATAACTGTGCGTGATTTCTTTAATGGAGGAGATGCGAAGAGAGAGACTTCTGATGGGGTCCCGCTGTCTCACGAGGCTCCTGCCCCAGCCTCCCAGCGGCTAGCAGGACAGGCCCATTTCCAGAGCAGCAATGTGGCCACGGTGCCAGCAGGTCCGGCGGGCCTGGGATCTGAGCTCAGGCCTTCCACGTGGCTCCAGCACCACGTACTGGTTCCCACCTCCCACACACAGTATATACACCGGCCAGGCCACCATGACTAGGCCATATTAATCAAAAATTAAAACTTGAGGTAGCGACTTAACACAATTTCCCATCAGATCACATGAACAAACTGTAAGGTGCTGTGCCTACGAGAGACTTCAGGAAGATGACCTCATGGAACTGGCAGCGTGAAGCTGTGCAGTTTCCTGCTTTTAAATGCAATCAGTGGAATCGATCAAGGAGGAGACCAGAGAAACGAGCAGCTCCCCCAGGGAGCAAGCTGGAGCAAGCAGGGGCAGGTAGGGAACCAGTCACCTCTTCAGTCCCGAGACTTGTACTTCTCTCTTTTCCTGTTTACTGTTTTCATCTTTTTGTTAAACATAGACCACTCTCCCTCAAGCAAGAGCCCATGTTACATGACTCCTGACAAGCACTACCAGTGCCCCGGCCTTTCTCTTCTCCTCCAGCCACACGACGAGCATATTCTCAGACACTGTACTTCCGGGGCCACAAGTGCATAGCCATAAATTTAAAAATAAGGACGTTCTACTCTAAGGAGTTACTTTCCTTGTGAGTTATACAGAAGTATATGTTAAAGCTATATACAGCTTAATTTCTACACAGCAGATCTTTGAAGACATTAAACTGAGCACCAATATAGGATTCCTTTAAGGAAAAATATTTACAAATGTGAAGACTAAGTACTTAGGTTTACACTTTCATGTCATACCACGTATGCCTGAATGCAGGAAGACACTCACATAAAATACCCCTGAACCTGGCTCACTTTCCCACTGAGAAGGTTCAACAGAAAAAAATGAAGTACACCTAAATAAACCCAGGACGTGAATAAAGCTGTCGGACAGCTAATTTTAATACTGAGCGCATGCACTTGGTTACACTGGATATGAAACACTGTGTATGATAATGTAAATTTACATAGCACTTCTTACTACTCTCACATCCAGCAAAACGGTTTATTCACTCTCCTGACATGCGTCCTCAGCATTAATTAATCAGGAATAGAAGATAAACCAGTTCTTTTTTTTTTTAAGATTATTTTATTTAACTTTATTTATTTATTTTTAATTGGATCAGAGAGGAACAGAGTGACAGCGAGAGCGAGAGAGAGAAAGTGAGAAAGCTAGCTGCCAGGTCCAGGACTCGAACCACAGTCAGCCATGTGGGTGTACAGCGTCCTTAACCACCATGCCACCTGCTGGCCCTGAACCATTTATTTATATATCATTAGAAAAGAAAAATATTACACCAACAAAATGATGCATGCCAGGCACGTGTGCATGCGTGCCCAAGATCCCGAGAGGAGAAGGGATTGTGGTGTGGCCATCCCCCCAGGGGGTGGTTTCTCACTTTTGGTCTCTCTGTCTCTCTCTTCCTGGCAAGCACATGTGCCCTATAGCAAAAACCACTCCCCCCACACAAAAAAATACAGAAGAGCATGTACATGTGTATGCACATTATAAACATAGGAAAGCAACAAATATAAAGAATAATATCCTCTATGTAATTATCAAGGTGGAAGAGACTACTTACTGAATCTCTTATCTTTTTCTTTTTTCTTTTTTTAATTTCCAGAGGGCATGTGTCCTCGCCAGAGAGACAGGGAGAGGGAGGAATGACCCTCAGTGCGGCATGGTCACACCGCGATCCTTCCTACCCCTTTTCTCCATTCTTTCAGGATTTGGGGCATGCATGCACATATGCCGGTGAGCTTTCTAAACCACTGAAGCTGAGATTCAAACTGTGCGGTTCACCTTAAGAGATCTGGTTCCCTTACCACCAGGCCATGCGGCTAGTCCTCCATCTTTTTAATTTCTGAAGGGTCCGAATACCATGCGTGATGGGAAAATACGAGGGAGGAGCTATGGGCTGCCAGAGGGCGGAATGAGAAAGAGCTACCCTCTGCTCTGATGTGCGTGCATCAGCAATGCCCTCAGTCACAGACAGCCACCACAGAGTGAGCCACACCACACAAGTGCAGAGCCAAGGCAGGTACTCCTGGAGACAGGTCAGAGAAGTTGTCTTTTTTAAAAAATATTCACTGTTAAAAGGGGTCTGATTCGAAAAAGAAAAAAAAATAAACTTTTAGTCAAAGAGAAAAATATTACGAAAGGACAGATAAGGGGAAAAAAAGAACTTATCTTCTAATTCTGACGTTCATTTTCTAGGAAAACAATTCATTCTAATATTATCAAGCCAAAAATCAGAAACCTAACAGATAAGGGGGAATGGGTCCCACATGGCCAGACACAGTTTGATTCGAGCTTCATGGCTAGAAAAACACACCGGACACGTGTGTGCACCCAGAATGCTGACGGAACAGAGAAACAGAGG